GTTGAATGAAATGTATATATATATATATTCATGTTTTATTTTTAATAAAATGGGCCATAATTTCTATTTCTTTTTCTCGACAACAAAGTACATTACGAAAGTCATTCAAACAACAATAAAGTTTCATTTTAAGATGTTTAATCCGAAAAAATACAAAATTAAAAAACGCAGTGGTATCCCAGGAGGCATCTTAACGAAATTATTGAAAAACTTCATAAGAGGGTTCAACATGGGCTTCGTGAAATCTGATACACTTACGGGCACGACGAATTGAGGACTGCTGTACCCGCCACAATAACCCAGCATTGTTCCTTATCACATCACAATGAAACGCGATTTTCTGTAGAAGTTCCTCCCTAGTTTCGAGCGGAGTAGAATACACCAATTGTTTGAGATGTTACCACAGGTAAAAATCCAGAGGTGGATCGAGGAGGCCAGGCAATAGGTCCTCCTCTACCTATCCAACGGTTTGGATACACGTATTTAGGTGCTCCCGTACACCATCGTTGAAATGAGGTGGTGCCCCATCGTGCATGAAGTACATGTTTTGGCGGGTTTCAATTGGTAAGTGTTCTATTAAATCTTGAAAAGCGTTCTGAAGAAACTCCAAATAAAGTTGTCCATTCAATCGTTCCGGTAATACGAATGGTCCAATAAAAAAATTGCCAATGATTCCTACCCAGATGTTAATTGATTGGAACTGATGTTGATGACGCGAAACAATAGTGGCATGAGGATTTTCATCAGCCCATACATGTGATACCATTTTTGGTAAATCTTTCTTCATCCGTAAAATCAATAGTGCTAATGAAGTTTACATTATTTCGTTACTGACCCAATAGCCAGTTTGCAAACTGCATTCTACGAGGAAAATCTTCAGGAATCAGTTCATGTATTTTTTGCAAATGGTATGGATATATCGGCTGTTCTTGAAGAACTTCATGTAGTATTGTTTTCGATTAAACTGTGCTGATAATTTCTCGAGTGCTCGCTGATGGAGTGTCTTCTACAGCAATTAAAATATTTTCCTCTAATTGCGGCGTACGTACAGTTCTTCTCAGACCAGCATCAGTACTATTTTTAAAACATGAATTCCTTTAGTATTCTTTTTCTCGTAAACGGTTCATTTTATTGACAATAAACAAGAGTACCTTTTTTAGTCTAAGGTTGAACCTACCCAGATTTATTATTTTAATGTCATCACACAGGGTGTTAAAAATCTAGGCAAAAAGTTGTAAAGCTTAGCCCGCCCCTGGTAAACAAAAAAAGCTAAATATGGTTCAAGGACACGATATTAAGACGTCCCTACTAGTGTCCATCACATAAAATTTGTATTAAATAATATTAAGTACTTTAAAAGTTATTCAAGAAAAATTTCTAGCGGCGTCCTCCAGGGACACATATCTCCGTAGGGAGGGCCTGTAAGAAAAGTTTTATAGGAACTTG